ATAGTGACCCTGTACAGGGTTTCTGAGGCTGTAAATCTTTACGGGAGCAGAAAGCCTCATCTTTCTCCCACGGAACAGCTGGTAGTTTCGAACTGTTGACCTTGTGGTTCGCAGCCAGATTCGTAACTACTATGCTACCAGGGCTCCTTAGGACTTTAAGCAGCGTTTATTCAAATCCTTTGTCCAATTTTAATTTAAAGCTGCTATCAAAAGAAAAATAAAGGCATTTTGGTAAAATTAATTTCTTTATGGTGCCTTTACCTTGGTTCTTTAGAAAAATAATTTGACAGATTGTTTGTCTCCTGAGCCCCAAGTAGTTATCTTTATCTTTCTTTAGTTTTCTAGTCCAGAAGGTTACTTTCGTCCAGGTTGATTTTACATTTGCAGGGTAAACTGCAAACAACTTGATAAATTTTGTTTGGTCTTGGGCAGCAACTTGCCCTGTGACTGACTGGTATACTTTCATACTTTATAGGAACTGGTTGATAAACTTATGTTAACAAGGTGACTATAGCTTACTATGTTAATGAAGTGACAGAGCCTACCCAGCAGGAATGCCTTTACAGGAATTATTTTTCTCAATCTGTTTGTGGCCCCTGCTGAAATTAACTTACTGAAAATATAAAAAAAAGTATTAAGAAATATGAGGGGGAGCTTCAAAAACTTTATTTTGAACTAAAAAATAATAAAACTTTTCCACAAACTTTTTGGAGCTCCTTTGCATAAACAATTGCATATTCACAGAAAACTCCCAACTGTTAACTTATCAATCAATATGACTTATAGAAAGGAGATCCTATTTTTAAAAAAATTGATAGTTCCAACCATTCAAATTTTATTAAAAATTCAAAGACTAGTATCAGAAATATAAGTAAGATTACTGACATACACAGCTCTAGCTTATAAATGGCCAATAGCCAAAAGATATTTAAGAAATCAGTTGTTCAGAACTTAAGAGTTTACATTTCTCCAAAGACACAATGTTATCCAGAATCAACTTCACAGCAACAAGTTTAAATTCTATGCTAACACACTGTTGTTCAGAGTACTCTGCACGTATTATTTCTCTCAATCAATGACAGGAACTGTAAGAGGAAGACACTATTACCATCATTTACAGATGATGAAACAGAGGAATAAAATACACTGTATAAATAAAATACACTTAAGATTATATAACTGTTAGATAAAGCTGGATTTCAGCTTAGGCTACATGATATAGAACCTTTGCTTTTTACTGTTCTATTTTAAATTAAAATTCAATGTTTGTAAAAATGTAATTGAATCTTATTTCAGTGACCTTACAGAAAAAAACGTGAATGCAGGTATTCTAATCTGTGAACCAGTAAGATGAAAGAAAAGTAAGTGCAGAAAAGTGGACTCCATGAATAGTAAAGAATGGCAGAGTAAACATTACAAATAATATTGTCTTCCCTTACAGCTATTCACAGAGCAGATTTACTTTATTAACCTTATTATGTACAGGGCTTTGAACTGGTTTTTTCTGGTTTAGTCATGGCCAACAAGGTGAAACCAGAACAGGTAATTCGAAATATGTGAATGAACCAAAACAGTCACTGGAAATGTAATCTTCCTCTTAGAAAAAAAGGACAGGATGTACACTGCATAGCAACCAAATCTCTTGAGTGACAGAGTTGGAAATATTGGTGCCTCGCTCAAAGATGGTGGGCAACAGTGCCACTTTGAATGTGTGTCCCTTTCTATGGTCCTGGCTAAAAATGCAATCTGCTGAATAAAGCTCCTGTCCTGAAAGAGTCTCTTCAGTCTCCCATTCCAGGGCTTCACCCATAATTTTTCCTGTTACAAATCACCCAAACTTAAAAAAAATCCTGTTGTGTTTTAATTTTGCCTCAATGGCCATGACTGAACCAGTTTGAAACCCTGATTATGAACCAATGGGACTGAACGAAATTATCATATGATTTTTGGACATTTGAAAGTACTTTCTCAATTTAGAAAGATTAATGTAGCAGGAAACACAGGGAGTAATTCAAGAATTAAAAGGAATACAGGTAAATATTGGTAACTGGTAGAACGTAAGAGAGGATTGCAATCATTCTAATGAACCAAAATATATGATTTGTTGAATGTAAAATTGATGCTCTGCAATAGAATAAGTCACATGAAAAAAGGTTACGACAGACTGAATTCAATACTAATGGGTTACAACTACTAACTTTTAGGTCTGCTCATTTCACAGTCATTAAAATTCTATTTAAATAAATTTTTATGCTAGTGTTTAACTACCACAGTGAAAAATGAGGCTTTTGGAATAATCTATTACATTGTAAACAAAGTAAAAGGGATAGTTTGAAAATAGTGACATTTTAAAATAAATGTCAATACATTTTCTAAATATACATGAGACTTCACACCTAAATTAGTATAAACAATGATAATCCAGAAACAAAAGTAGTGACAGCCAGCATTTTATATAGTACTGAAAATATGTGAGGCACTATTCTCATACACTATATTAATTCATTTAACTCCAAAAGGTAAGATAAGGAAACTAACATACAAAGAATTTAAGTAATGTGCCCAAATTCACTTAGCTAGAAAGTGGTGAATAACAGTCCAGGCTAGAAAGTATAATCTTGTTTCAGAATTTTTGTTTCTTACAAATATGATAGACCAGACAATGATCAATAGATAAAATATTATAAAAATAAAAGAACGTATGCCTTTAAAGTCATCACATTTTAAATCTATAATATCCCTATAAAATGTAAAATAGTATGTTTTTTTTTTACCTCTGGCACGTGTACTTATCCAGCAACAAACTTAAAATTACGAGTTAATACTTAAAACAAGACCAACTAAATAAATAGTTCATATAAAATCAATTAAGCAGTAGAATTGTAGAGGAATTGTATTTCTTCTACTTTAGATTTTTTTATGAGTATTTTATAAAAGTATCATCTATGTACAGGAATATTTTTTAAATGCTTTTGCCATAGAACTCATAATACATAAATAAATAGGTATTAAAAATAAAATTTTATTTTCATGAAAGGGTTCTTTTAGATTCAGTTAACTTATCAGATGTTTACATATCAAATACCGTTTAATTAATAATTTGGCCAATAAGACAAATTTTAAATTTGAAAGACAAACAACATAAATTAACATTGTATTTAAAAATCAAGCCCTCTCAGCTTTCATATTACAACCATTGTATTACAACATAATAAACCATTCAAAAATCAACCAACCAACACACTGTTGGTTCTAAGGAAAATTATCTACATAGCTAGTTAAAATTAAAATCATTAGCTGACTGATGAATCAGTGTACATTCATTACTAACAAAAACTCAAACTTCATCTAAAAATTTTTAGTAATATACTTTAACAAAAAAGGACAGCCTGAAAAAAAAAAGAAAGACAGCCTGTTAATTTAATAATCACCCACAATTAAAAGTATAATATTTAGAAGTCAGATTATAGAAGAAAAATACGTTGTAACAATCATTATTCCATGACTGTTTATGTAAATAGAGAAAAGCCAGATGAATGTAAATGGGGGGGAAAATGCTGCCATTTTTCGTTCTTTGGAAAAGTCTTCCACAGTGACTAGCTTAGTCAAATATAATCTTCAAATTATAAATTTTTAAAATATTATTTTATATAAGGCCACAAGGACTTACCTGTAATTCTGAAATCCAAAAATTTGGACAGTTTTTTCAAGAAGATTGTGAAAACTCATTTAGTGGTAAAATCTGACCTTAAATGACTTGTAATGAAATCTTTATGGATAAAAAACAAGGGTAAGCAAAAATGTATTGCTACAAAATCATTGAAATCTTCACCAAACAGAATATAAAAATGTGAAGCTTTTGTTTTTCAACCCATCCTCCCCTCCCTATCCAGTCTTCAACAATTCTGAAGGTGGTGTTTCTAACTTTCTAATACTTCTCCAAAGAATTATGTGTTCTTAAAACTTGTTGTTAGGTGCCATCAAGTCGGTACAGACTCATAGCGACCTTATGCACAGCAGAATGAAACACTGCCCGATCAAGGGCCAACCTCACTATTGTTGCCACGCTTGAGTCCATTAATGCTGCCACTTGGCCAATCCATCTCGTTGGGGGTATTCCTCTTTTTCTCTGTCCCTTCACCTTACCAAACATGATATCCTTTCCAGCAACTGATCTCTCCTGACAATACACCATGTCAAAACATCAGTTTTGGCATCACCGAAGGATACAAATTGACTCCTTTGAAGTATCTCTTAAAAGTTTTGAGAACAAAAAGAAGTCTGAAGAGGCAAGATCAGGGCTGTAGGGTGGATGGGGGTAATGTTTCAAATGAAACTTAGGACAGCTCTTACTACCCTCAATACTGCCCTCAAAGAATGAGCAGGTGCAATGTCCTGATGGATGGGAAATATTTTTTAGTGCAATTTTCCTGCCCTTCTCACAATGCAGTTTTCTTAAAACTTCTTCCTAATGAGTCCCCAAGATCATCTCGTGTCCTATCTATCAAGATTTTCCTTTCGTAATCTCAAAAAACAGTTGCTTTAATATTGAGGTTGACACTTCGACACTGATGCCTTGAATTTAACTGGCCTCATAGATCCCCTTGGAAGCTGTTGTGACTGGACCTTTTACGAGAAGTCACCCTACCAAATATAGGAAAAAGTATTACTGAGACACCTTGTCTGCAGCCAACTATCAATTGCAGAGACACATTGTGTTCAGAATAAACCCTAGTAGCTATACTTTTTGACTTACCCTTGTAGTCACTCATTTTGCTGCAGGAATATTAATGTTCCATTACAGAATGTCTCCATTCAGGGTGTTAAAAAAAACAGGAAAAAATGTGACTGTAAGAACTTGGGGGTGGAAAAAGAGACTGCAGATATACATTACAAATTAAGATGTTACCTGATATTCAGAATCCAGTAAAAATGAAGAGTCTCTTGAGTGATAGGAATCATTTAAACTACTTCCTCTGCTTCCAGACATCATCCTAGTACTTAAAGAGCTGGAGGGTTGAACAGAAATTCTTCTTGGGATCCTTGAAGGCTTAGAATCCATTTTTAAGATTTCCTATGAAATGCAAATTTAGATTAATTGTCTTTGGGAAAACATGCAAACCTTTCATTCTTAATCCTCCTTAATCATCTACTCAAATCAAGAATTAGTCATGTGAATTAACTATATATATGGCTTGGCAAAAGATATGAAATTACTTTCACGTTGTTTCTACAAGGCAGAGGTCGGTTCCAACTCAGAGCTACCCTGCATAACTTTCAGAGGAGTGCCTGGTGGGCTTGAACTGATGACCATGTGTTTAGCAGAACAGTGCTTATCCTACACCATCACACCAGTACAAAAAAAAAAACACTTTATAAGGGAGATGAGGAACTCTGAGGTGTTTTCAACCTGGGGTCCTATTAGCTACTGAATTTTGTCTCTATATAGAATCCTATATGAGTTTGCTCTTGATTCTCTTAATATTCTTCACTTGCTATTAATTATTATCAATACTATTACTAAGCATTAGCTATAACGTACTGTTTGCATACCCTGCAACAAAATATTTAAGTCCTTGGGTGGTGTACACTCCACTTAACTATTAACCAAAAGGCTGGCAGCGCAGCACTGCAAAAGAAAGTTCTGGTGATTTCCCGTCCATAAATATTTTTATCAAGAAAACCCTATAGCGCAGCTTTACTCTAGCATATGGGGTTGCCATGAGTCAGAATCAAGTTGATGGCAATGGGTACTCTATACAGTCAATAAAACATGGAGTCCTGGGTGGTAAAAAGAGTTAACCAAAATGTTGTAAGTTTGTGTTTATTCAGTGGCTCCTCATAAGAAAAGTCTGGCAATCTATTTTTGAAAAATTAGTTACTTAAAATCCTCTAGAATGCAGTTCTACTCTGATACATGTGGGGTTACCCGAGTCTGAATTAATTCAATGGCAACTGGTTTCAACACACTATGCCTTTGTGGGCCTTGGCATGTATGCTTGGCAAGTCTATACATCCCATCCAATTCCTGGTTATTTTTATAAACACAGTTTCTTTCCTGTGTGCTTCCACTTTATAAATATTTTTTATTAAGACATCAAATCATCTTATACTACTTATTGGTCTATTTGCCCTTCATTTTAAGTATAGGAAGTCCTGGTGTGGTGCTGTAGGATAAGCACTAGGCTACTAAACGCAAGGTCAGTGGTTCAAACCCACCAGTTTCTCTTTGGAAACCCTACATTTTGAGTAGGGTTGAACTCAACACAGCATTTAACAAGTTCCTGACTTACACCAAGCTGTACTTACAATCATCTGTGGTATTTTGGGGTATATCTTATTGTTAGAAATATGTATGTATTAAAATATACCTGCACATTTATGTGTAATGTTTCCTATACCAAAGATAAAGACTTGATCTGTAAAGGTATGGATAATACAAGACAATAATGAAAACAACAAAAAAGCTATCTGACTTATGTGAGAACCAACTTACAATGTGTATGTTGGAACAGAACCTTGTTGTAAATTGGAAACTACCTGTGTTTTATTGTGTTTACTCACAATTGCCTGGAATACACTAGATACTGAATAAATTGAAGTTAAAAATGTAATGAAAAAATGAATGTATTTCCCTTTTATTTTCCATTTTTACAGACTCTTTAATTTTAACAACAACCAAAACAGCAAACCTACTGTTGTCTGACATTCAATGAGCATTATACCAAGACCAAGGGAGAATGACCTTGTCTATTAGTTAATTTAATCCCCAAAATTACTGTCTAAGGTTATTGTTAAGTGCCATAGAATCAGGTCAGACTCATACTGTCTCTGTATAGTTTCTGAGGAGTGGCTGAGGTAACTAACTATATAATCCTTACTTTGTTGTTGTTGTTGTTAAGTGCCATCAAGTCGGTTCCGACCCATAGCGACCCTGTACAGGGTTTCCGAGGGTGTAAATCTTTACGGGAGTAGAAAGCCTCATCTTTCTCCCGCGGAGCGGCTGGAAGTTTCGAACCGCTGACGTTAAGGTTCACAGCCCGATTCGTGACCACTACGCTACCAGAGCTCCTTATAACAGGAACTTAGTGTGCTTATAAAAGAAAAGAAGACAATAACAGTGGTTTGAATGCCTTTCATTTCCCTATCCTGCTTTATAGCTAAGACTTCCAACACAATATTGAATAGGAGTGGTGACAAAGGGCATCCTTGTCTAGTTTCTGTTTGCAAAGGGAAGGCTTTCAGTTTCTCTCCATTGAGAGTGATGGTGACTGTTGGTTTTATATATATGCTTTTAATGATGCTGAGAAATTTCCCTTCAATTCCTACTTTGTTGAGTGTTTTTATCAGGAAGGGATGTTAGATTTTGTCAAATGCCTTTTCTGTATCAATAGATATGATCATGTGGTTCTTTCCCCTTTTATTTATTTATATAGAAGATTATAAAGATTGTTTTTCTAATATCAAACCATCCTTTCACCCCTGATATGAATCCCACTTGGTCATGGTATATTAATTCCTTTGGCTAGGAGTTTGTTGAGAATTTTTACATTTATGTTCATGATGGATATTGGTCTATAATTTTCTTCCTAGTGATGTCCTTTCCTGGTTTTGGGATGAGGAGTATGCTTGCTTCAAAGAATGTATTAGGAAGTTTTCCATCCTTTTCTATATTCCGGAATAATTTGAAAAGAATTTGTGACAGCTCTTCCCTGAATGTTTGGTAAAACTCACCAGGAAGGCCATCTGGACCTAGACTTACTTGGTTGGGAGTTTTTTGATGATGATCAAGTTCTTCTTTTGTTATAAGTCTGTTAAAGTTTTCTACTTGACTCTGTGTAAAAGTTTAGGTAGGTCGTGTTTTTCTAAAAATTATCCATCTCTTCTAAGTTTTCAAATTTGTTGGAGTACAGCTCTTCATAGTATTCTGTTATTATCCTTTTTATTTCCATTGGTTGTATTGTGACATCACCCATGTGGTTTCTAATGTGTGTAATTTGTGTCTTCTCCTTTTCTTTGGTTAGATTTGCCAATAGTTTGTCAATTTTATTAATCCTTTGAAGAACCAGCTTCTTGTCCTGTGGATGCTTTCTATAGGTTTTTTTTTTTGTTTTCTATCTCATTTACTTCTGCTCTAATCTTTATTATTTGCTTTCTTCTGTTGACTTTAAGTTTACTTTGCTAGTCTGTTTCTAGTTGTTGTAGATGTTGTATTAACGTGTTGATTTTGATTCTTTCTCCTTTTTGGAGTATTCATATATTACAATAAACTGTCCTCTCAGCTCAGCAC